AAAGATGGGGTTTCACCATATTGGTCAGGCTGGCCTGGAACTCCTGACCTCAGGTGATCCGCCCACCTCAGCCTCCCAAAGTGCTGGGATTACAGGCGTGAGCCACCGCGCCCAGCAGCCTGGCTAATTTCTGTATTTTTATTTTTAAAAAAATTTTTGTATTTTTAGTGCTGACAGGGTTTCACCGTGTTGGCCAGGCTGGTCTTGAACTCCTGATCTCAGGTGATCCGCTTGCCTCGGCCTCCCAAAGTGCTGGGATTACAGACATGAACCACCATGCCTGGCCAATTTGTTTTTCATGGTACTTGCACTCCCTAGTTTAGCCTAAGGTGGTAATCACAGCAGGACAACGCCGAGCGTGTCAAAACTTGTGGATCCTTGTTTCACAGGGTTAGGTCATATCTCTCGTATTAGTGTAATGCTTGGCATGTAGTCAATGGCTGCCCCCTTCCCAATTACTTCATCTCAGTAGTCAGCAGGGCGTAATGTAATTTATTTGCTTATATTTATGTCTTTTCCAAACACTGTGATATATTATTTCTCTATCCCCAGTGTCTAGCACATATTAGGTGCTTGAAAAATGCGTGTGTGAATTAGTGTTCAGGGGCAAGTAACAAGAAGAAGATAAGGACTACTTGTTGGCCCCTGGATGGCATTTTTCTGTTCTAATGGGAAATACGGCCGATGACTTGGGAGGGCACAGCCTGCGTTGAAACTTCGTAAAGTGTCCCACGAGTCTCCTTCACGTCGTTGATTGCCGGGCCTCGGGTTTCCGCTGGGTGGGGAGGAAAGTGGGGCGGGAAATCGAAAAACGAACTCTCAGCTCCCGGCATTCCCCGTGGGCGGCGCTCCCCTTTGACCCTTCGCTCGCGTGCTACACATCCGGGCCTCTGCTACTAGTGAGAGGAAGATGGCGGCCGCGGCTGTTGTGGTTCCCGCAGAGTGGATAAAGAACTGGGAGAAATCAGGGAGAGGCGAATTGTGAGTGTTCGGGCCGGAGGCAGGCGCACTGTCGGGCCGGGCCAGGGCGTCAGCTTCACTCTCACCTGTGGTGGGAGGTTGAGGGGGGGAAGATGTACCCCCTCCCCCACCCGGTCTTCGGGCGTGGATGGTCAGCTAGGAGTTTCGAACTCGGGGAGAGGTGCGGTTAACCGCCGCGGACCTCCTTCCTTCCCTGGCCTCCCAAAAATCGCTGCTGCCTGCGGTAGCTTGGCTTCCTTTAGCCTCTTAGTAGAACTCCTGTTCGCCCCTGCGGGTCTCCGCGCTCCCTCTTGGTCTCTTTTTGTGTTCCCCTCTTCGCTTGAGCTCACTTGGCTTCTTTATCCTTATCGGGCTGCGCCGGGGCGATTCGGACTTTCCATTTGTCTCTGTCCCATTTCTTCACTCTGCACCCGATCGACTCTGTAGTTTAGAGCTTGGCGCCTCCTCTGCCTGAAGTCCGAGGAGGGCGAACCGTCCCGGACTCCCTTCTCTCCTCTTCGCCCGCTGCCGCGAAGCTCGTGGCGCCGCGAAGCACTCAGTTTGGCACCTCTCGTCCTCCCGGGGAGCGGTCTCCCGACTGTCCCAGCTTCGTGTGGCGCCGTGGGGAAGTGTGACAGGGATGGCCGCTTTCCCCGAAGAACTACCGGCATTTCTTTGCTCTGTCTTTTCACCTTAGAGCTATTTCGGGTTGGATTCAACTTTCGTCATTAAATGTTCCCTAAACCCCATTTTATCCTGGGACTGCAACTAATTCTGGCAACTATCCAAGCTTCTCAAGTACCTAGGATAACGCGTTTCATTTAGTCGTGAAACTTTCCCCCGGTAACACCAAAAACAGTAACTTGCCATACCCCTAGTCTTCTCGCCCACAAATTAGAGCGCTCCCTCCTTTCCTCCCCCTGGAAAAAGTCGTTTAATCAGCAAAGCAAACTACAGATTTAAGAACAGATATTAATAACAGCGTCTAATTTCCTTCTCTGGATCGTTTTTAGATGTTAAAGCTCAACCCTGGATGAAATTCACTCTTAGCCATTTTTGTCGTCCTTGCCCACCCCCCTCCATTTCTGGTAGCCAGTTTACCGTGGCTCGTGCTAAAGATTTAAATCTTTGTAACTTCATTACTTGGAACGAAACACGAGGAACGCGTTGCCGGGTCCCGCGCTTGTAATATTGCCAGTCTCTGTGGCTTCCTCCCCCGCACCCCCCGCACTGCTTTATGAAGCCTTAACAGTGTGAGCTCTAGAATTGCCTAAATAAGCGGCTGTCTTAGCCACTTAACTAGCTGAGTGACCTTGGGTAAGTTCCTTAACCACTTGGACTGTTTCCCCTTGAGTAAATTGGGAGTAATAAGTACTCTACTCAAAGGATTGTTGCGAAGACTAAATAATGCCTGTAAAGCACTTGGCTTATAGTAAGTGCTCAAGTGATAGCTATTAAAAGTAATATTATTCCAACCTTTAGATATTTAAACTTCTCAGGACAGCTCTTGCACTTAAAGTCTGTACCACTCAAGTTGGCAATTAATTCGTCTCTGACTCCTTCATATGTATTTATTCTTGCACTCTAATGAATTGAGAGGCCCTTGAAAGATAGGGACTATGTCTCATATTTCTTTTGGTTCTATACACGCCCCGCCCCCTTCAGCATATGCTTAGAATTCTTATTGGTTTATTAATTGCCAGAGAAGACTATTTTACCTTCGTTTTTAACTGTAATGAACATTTTCCAAATCCTCGTACGTGCTAGTTAACAAATAGCTATCAAGTTTGATAACTAGTTGACAGCCATCAAGTTCTGGGGAAGGCCAGATGTGAAGTTACCCAGCCAGACTGTTAGCTTCACCCATATTAGGGTAATCCCCCCAAAACTGATAAAGCAGTTCGCTGTTTTGTTTACTTTTAAAGCCAGCTCATTTATTTAGGGGCTGTCATCTTTGTAGTTTGCTCAGCTTCCTCCTTTCAGCTACTTCTTTTTTTTTTTTTTGAGATGGAGTCTGGCTGTGTCGCCCCGGCTGGAGGGCAGTGGTGCGATCTTGGCTCACTGCAACCTCCGCCTCCCGGGTTCAAGCGAGTCTCCTGCCTCAGCCTCCTGAGTAGCTGGAACTACAGGTGCATGCCACCACGCCTGGCTAATTTTTTTGTATTTTTAGTAAGGATAGGGTATCACTGTTAGCCAGGACGGTCTCCATCTCCTGACCTTGTGATCCGCCCGCCTCAGCCTCCGTTTTACTATTATTGCTCCCACCTTAGAATGAATGGTATTAGGGCTACAGGTGAAATTCTGCTTGGCTTCTGACTGTTAGCGGTTGGAGAAAAAGTTAAACAGGAGGTCGAAATACCTAGTTTAAATGGAATTTTAGGTTCACATTATGTATATTTACATAATACATGCTACCTGTCATACTTCTCATGTTTGAAGAGCTGCTTAAAAACTTATTAGAACTTATATGTATGTAGTTATTGCATGATTTGTGGAATGTTTTGAATTATGGTAGATCCAAATCAGTATAGTCAGTTTTATGATTGCATTCTGTTATATGAAGATAAAGTTGTGTAACATGATAAGCTGTTTTAAACACGTCACCATCCAGTACTTAGTTTTTGTTTATTTGACCTGTTTTCCCTCTATGAAAACTTTGCTGCATATAGCATATCTTGGGAGTTTCTGTATCTTCCTAAAGATAGATGTTAGCATTTTCATTTTATTAGGCAGACTGCATGGTGGTGCAAACATATTACAAAAAACCTTTTTCCTTTGTCTGAAAACAGCTTCTGAAATATAAAACAGCAACTGTAAATGTTAAAAATGAAGGTAGTATGCCACCAAATTATTAGTGAATCTATTTATAGATTTGGCGTTTAGAATATGACCAACATTTAAAATTATACCTTGAGTGAATTTTTCCTTTTTAACAAGATAAATTAGCAGATAAGCTTTAACTTGACTGAAAATTACCTTTTTAAAAATAATATGATGTATTTCATCAGGTTGTTAATTTGTTTCTTGTCTGTCACTTGTTACCAGCGTAAATCTTCCTGGGGGTGGTAGTCAACTAGTGTTGAAAGGAACATGTGAGTTATATGGGGCATTTTATAACTTTTAGATAGGGCAAATTCTCAATTGTACCCCATGACAAACAACTGTCTATTAAATGGAAGGCCTTGGCTTTGGAGAATGTTTTATTAGGTAATTAGGATAAAAGTAAAACTGTTTCTGCCTATCTGAATGGTCTATCCATCACATACCTGGATATCCCATTATGTTTCCAGAGATACCAATTAATGTTTTGAATGCTAAATTGTAGAACTCCTAAAGTGACCTTTTCCAAGAGGGATCAGAAGGGCGAAGGAGGACTACCAAAATGTAATTGTCATTTCCGGTAATGCTTATATTTAAATGTAAACTCTTTCAAATTGTGAAAGATACGTGTTTAAATATTTTATTTTGACTTTCTCGATTATAGTAACATAGAACTTGCCATGGTGAAGCTAATAAGCTTGCATGTACTGGTAGATCCAGTGTAGAATTCTGTTTTTAGTAGAAATCATTAACACGGTAAGCTCAGCATTTCTTTGTTACAAGCAACCTAAATGGAGAATTTATCTTAATCTGAAGATGCTAGCCTCATGTTAATACTTAGTATAATTTTGAAATACTTATGTTTGTTGAGTATCATCTGTTTGAGTAGCTTATTTAGGTATTTCAGTTAGAAAGTTTGGTTAGGTTTTTATCTTCTTAATGGTAGTTGTAAAATTTTAAAATTTAATTGTCAAATGTTTTGATTGCTATTTTTCTTCTACACGATTGCTACTTTTTCTGCTGCTACTACACGATTTTAGACACTCTAGAACTTAAGTACATTTGGATGTTCAAAACATGCCATCTGATCTGAATTTCTGGAGGATTCTAGGTAAAGGGATATAATCATTCTAAGAAATTTTAGTCTTGGTGGTTGAGTCTTCTTTTCCTCGCAAAGTTGCTTCAAATTCAGCCAAAGCTTTTACCTGAAACCTTTTCTTGATGTCTCAGTTTTCATTTGGTGTTTAATTTCCCATTTTGACCTGTATTCATGAGCTAAGTATAAGTCTTAGTCTGTTTTCCTGGGAAGAGAAACATTCTTCAGAAAATGTTGAAGAGGTTGTATAGGCTTTGTTTGTCAAAAAAAAAAAAATTATTCTAGAATGCTTTAATGTTAAGGTAGGGTGAGCGCTGTTAATATACTTGTGCTTTTTTCCTACTGTAAGCGCAGCACCTCCTGTTGTCTTTTTTTTTTTTTTTAACATTTCCTCTTTCCTTTTCTTTTAAATGCATGTTTCCACAAGATAAAACTATATTGTCCCAATATTCATTTTTGTGGGTTATGTCTCTGTTCTACAAATGATAATGGAGGTAGCACTTTGCTTAACCTCATTTAACCTTTTCATTGTCTTGTTTTAAAGAATTAAGTGAAGTGTAAATGAACATCAGCCTTTTATATATGAAAGCCAGATTTGAGATGTGAACATAATCAAGTAGTTTAAGTTTGTGTCTATGTTTCCTTTTTAATGGAAAAGGGAACAAGTTACATGAAAAGCTGTATATTCATGTTAAGAAGTATTCACAAAATATATTTTAAGTCCTTGAAGGAACTTCAGACATTTTATTCAGTTTTTTATACATCTTTTGACAGAAAATAGAGTCTGTCCTTGTTCTCAGGGACCTGAGACAGCATCTCCATAATAGCACTAAACTGTTTTAAAAGTAGAAAAAATGAAAGCCTAAGGTGGTGGCATGTGAGGTGGTGTGCACTGTGGCACACACCTGTAATCCCAGCTACTTGGGCAGCTGAGTCAGGAGAAAGGATCGCCTGAGCCCAGGAGAGTTCTGGGCAATATAGCAAGAACCTGTCTCTATTTTTATTTTTTAAAAAATTAAATTAAAAAAAGTGGAAAAATGGTAAAAAGTATCTGAAAGCTATTAAAGGATTAAAGTAACTTGAATTTGGACTGAGACAGAAAATT